ATGGTTGTTTGGCGGGTCCGGGCTGGGGATTCGAACCCATCACCTTAGGTGTACGTGGCTGGCGCCTTAGCCGGTTGAGCTATAGGCGCCGAGCCGAAGGGCAAAGGTCTTTATCGTTGACTTTTAGGGTTTCATCAATTCTGTGTGTGGAGGGACAAAGACAGGCAGATCTGGCTGCCTCTGGGTGGGGAGCCAGGGTTAGGAGTGACGCAACCACAGGTGGCATCTTCCTGCTGAGCAACTGTGCACGTTGGCATTTTGGAAGATCGTGTCAGAAGCTACTCCGGGGCCAGACACGTGCGGACCGATGTTGCCATCCTGAACTGCAGGTGGTTTGGTAGCGGCGGGGACGTTGCGACCTCTTTGCAGAGCTGCAGTCGGTATTTCGAAGGGTTTATTTGTTAGCATTAAAACCTGAAGTCCTTGAAAAGAAAATGAAGATACTACAAAGTAAGCCTGGAATGTTTAGACGTTTAAAACCACGTTGTGAAAAGGGACCAAAACATCAACAAGGGACTGCTAAATCTTGTCACGCTTATACACGCTATAATGCTTAAAGTCGAACTAGCATTTTAAAAATTTACTGAATGTCAACAGATATAAGGATTACAAGGTTTCTATTAGAAACCCTGCGAAAGCTCCGTCCGGGCCAGCTAAGAGGTGCATTCCCGACTGACCGGAGGCGGCGTTCTGCGCACGCGCGGGCTGTGCGGCGGAACTTCTGAGCTTCGGAACCCCTGAGCACCGTAACCCCCGGCGCTGGGCCGGAGAAGCGGTCCGCTGGGGAGCGTTTCCGGGGATGATGGTGTCGGCGCCATGAGGCTGACACCACGCGTGCTGTGTAGCGCCTCCCGCGCCGCCTGGCGGGAGAGCTTTCCCCTGAGTGGGCGTGACGTGGCTCGCTGGTTCCCGGGCCACATGGCCAAGGGTGAGGTCTTGCGGGGTCCTACCCGCAACCGCGGTGCCTCTCTTAGTCCGTCTGCTCCGGACTCTGGGCCGCCGCCGCTCGTCCTCCTCCCCCCCCACCCCCCAGAACCCTGCCCCCGGAATCTCTTAACCACCCTCCCCGGACCCCTGGAAAACTTCTCGATTCTTCCTCCCTGAACCTTTACCCCTGTTCCCCAGAATCCATGCCCCAGCTGGCCGAGGCCCGGCGCCCCTTTCCACCCTTGCGAGTCTGCCACTGCCCGAGGATCGGCCCCTGACCTCGGGCCCACCGCACACTGACCCATGGGCTGGGCTTATTTCAATTCTTAGCAAGTTCCTCTCTGCCATTTTAGTCCCCTGAAGCCTCGGTTTCCCCATGTTTTTGAAAAGGCACACTTTTCTTTTCTTTTCTTTTTTTTTGAGACAGAGCCTCAAGCTGTCCCCCTGGGTAGAGTGCCATGGCATCACAGCTCACAGCAACCTCCAACTCCTGGGC